AAGTGACTTCTTCAGTCTCAGCTGACTGCAGGTTTCCCCAACCTAATGTAGCCAGATGGGTTACTCTGCCCTCTCCACCTCTCTCCCTCTCTCTCTCTCTCTCTGGCTGCTGTTCGGGTTGGGTTGAGTGGAAACACACCTGCACTCTAATTGCAGGGTGGCGACTGTCGGTATAAGGCCATGCAGGCTTCATTTCCCTATTAATTGCTTCTTTGCCTTTTGTGAGTGCAGTATCAGGCGCCAATGCACTTATTTTCTTGGGATAATCAGGCAGTTTTGATCAGGCTCTACAACAGTTACAGGTAGGCCGTATGTGTATCTTCCTATCCACTTTAAAGGTTAAATAAGTGGTATAGTGGCTTATTGCTGTCCTGTTTACAGATTGGCCGACTTACTTATTTCCAGCCGTTGTGGAGAGGGCCGCCGCACTACTACCAGCAACTGATATAGCAGTTAATTATGGGGTAAGTAGCATTTGGCATTATTTTGCTACTGACTATAAATTAGAATAAAACATAGCTGGGCTTGAGTGATCTCTTGCCCGTTTATTTTGCTGGTGTTTACTTACATCTGATATTTGTATTTGCACGTTTGGCTTGCTCCAGTCGCCTTTTTGGAGTGCTTGCTAGGATCAAATGTCATAACGACCATCATCGGTGCAGGCAACTGTTTGCTTGTGGAGTGTAAATTCCTAGGCTTGTGTACTTTACTTACTTTGTTTTAAAAGTGTGTGCGACTTTTATTATTGTATGCTTGGTGTAGATTTTTTTTAGTTTGACTGTGAGCAATGAGCCTGGTGCTAAAGCTCCTTTTCCATTAGTAACTACTCGAATCGACTCACTATGGCTCGCCCCAACTCAACTCAGGTTGACTGGTTTTCCATTACAATGCAGTACTACCTAAGGCCATGTCCACACTAATACATTTTCGCTTAAAAATGCATCTTTTTCTCTCCGCTTTGGCCTTCCGTCCACACTGAGACAGCGTTTTTGGTCAAGGAAAACTGAACTCTTTGAAAAAACTCTCCAAAGTGGATACATTTGAAAACACCGTTTTCACGTCACAGTCTGGACTGCGAATTCGGTGCTTTTCCTCGACATTTAGCAGCAACATTTCAAAAATAAATGGCAGATAGAAATAACGCAGGTCGTATTGTCTTACATTTCACGCATGTGCAATACAGGAACATAAGCATTTTCAGTCGTTTCAGTGTGGATGAACAACTGTTCGTAACCGATTAAAAACGATAGTGTGAAAGCAGAGCATTTTTAGACAAAAACGCTGTTTTCAAATTTATCTGGATTAGTGTAGATGTAGCCTAATGTGTGTGGTCTCTCTCCCCACTTGGTGGCGTGCAGTCTGACGACGTCACATTTTAGTACCTGCTCACTTGGAACCCCGGGTGGGGAGGTGCTAAAATAGTACTTGGTAGCCGGTATTATGACCACAATGGAAAACCCTTAAAACCATAGTAAACCGTGCCAAGTCGATCCAAGTAGGTACTAATGGAAAAGGGGCTTAAGTGTCATATTAGATTTTTGGGACTTTTAATGTTGTTGTTTGTTTTTTACTGAGGTGAACCGAGGATAAGCCAGTAGCCGTGGAACCTTTGGTGGTGGGTTGTTTTCCACACTACTTTTGTTGTACAGCACCTTGGGTGCAAAGTTGGATGGTGTGTCTGTGTGATTTTTCTCTCTCATGGTCCTCAGCTTCTGGTAAGTCCAGCTCAGTATATGGTTGTTTTATTTAATTTAGGACACTACTACAGGATAGGCCATGCCACAGTCAACTCTCATTGTAGTCC